ATGACTAGAGCCAAGAGACTGATCTAAGGAGAGTCATTGCACATATAATAGGTCAAGAGGTCAGGATCTATCCATTTAAGATGACTGGAGGATCCAGGTGAACCTCTTGACATCAGACTGTTTCCTGTTAACACTCTCAAATGACAAATTTGAGTGGACAACTGGTTTACAAAGAAAACAAACACATTCTGTTGTAAAAACATCAACTGTAATGAGCTGTGAAGTAAACTTGATCAACAACAGACATCATATACCCAGAACAATAACCGACTGCAAACAATCCCTAATCTTTCTTGAGGTTTATCCTTGTGGCCGTAATTTGTTTTATTATGACAGGGGAGACAAATAAAACATGAAGAAACTCCAGTCTCTGACATGGGTAGCCAGGTACGTTATTACACTAACAGAGCAGAGAAGGTTACCTCACCGCAGTACAGGTGAAATAGTCCAGCTTTTGCTGACAAACTCTAGACTGAAATCTCACACACAAATACCAGGAACAAAATATTTATACATGAAGGCAAATACAATAACAATTACAAAGATAAAATATCTTAATCTATCCACATCATTATCTATGTCTGTCTTATCTCTCCACATCATTATCTATGTCTATCTTATCTCTCCACATCATTATCTATGTCTATCTTATCTCTCCACATCATTATCTATGTCTATCTTATCTCTCAACATCATTATCTATCTTATCTTTCCACATCATTATCTAGATCTATCTTATCTCATTACTACATGATGTTTCCTTCTTATCCCATTGCTACATAATCTTTTTATCTTATCTGTCACTGCATTATCTGTGTCCATCTTATCACTACACTGTCTGCGTCTATCCTATCTCACTGCTTAGGTGTTTGTTTGTCCATTTTATGTCTTTAAATCACAAAGATTTCCCATCTGACTCATTGATCACTCTAACAGTATTCTCCCCTGTATTGTAAACGCTCTACTGCATCTACCTGTCTCAGAACCCAAATGGTTCACATATTCACATGGTCCTGATCCATCTACTAAATGACATGCTCACTGCGTCGGTTCACTTCCTAACAAAATATATATATACACAAACAAGCATACACACACACACACACACAGAGGATGGCTTTCACTCACTGTCCCCTCCCCCAGACTCATGACCTCCACCAACCCCACCCTCAGCCTCCCCTGCATCACTTCCACCTCCACCACCCCCACCCTCAGCCTCACTTGCGCCACCAGCATCATCATCACCATCATTTCCCTTGCCACCGTCTTCCCCTTCACTTTCACTTTCCAGAACTTTGGCCTTCCTCTTCTTCTGTGTTGACATTTCTTCTCCTTCTTCAGATTCCTGCCAAATTACATAACATAATCAATCATCAGCAACAAAGGGTGAATAGACATTCAACAACAGTAAATACACAAAACTACATTATCTAACAAAATAACACAGAGTGAAAAAACCATTCAATAACAGTCAATAAAGAAAGCTCTACATTATCTACCAAACAAGAAGCAAAAGATGACATCTCTACATTCTCCACAAGACCATACAGTGGGTGAACAGAACATAAAACAATTCACAGGTCCTGTAGCATGATCTAAAGTAGACTTGGCCCTCTGCCTGTACCTACTTCAGCAAACAACACTTGACAGGTGATAGAGACAGCCAAAAAAACACACACATCTTTCTTCTGCCATAGACAACATGCCAGGTATGTCCATGTGTGTGTCCAACACTGCACTGTGTGTTTCATTACATTCTGTATTTGGCCTGCACTCTAGGAAGAGGTAATTCAGCCTGAAAACTTGTTATGGCAGGGCAGAGGGGCTCTTGTTAGCCTACTGGTGTAGGAGGAAAGCCCCAACAGGCAGAGGGGCTCTTGTTAGCCTACTGGTGTAGGAGGAAAGCCCCAACAGGCAGAGGGGCTCTTGTTAGCCTACTGGTATAGGAGGAAAGCCCCAACAGGCAGAGGGGCTCTTGTTAGCCTACTGGTGTAGGAGGAAAGCCCCAACAGGCAGAGGGGCTCTTGTTAGCCTACTGGTGTAGGAGGAAAGCCCCAACAGGCAGAGGGTCTCTTGTTAGCCTACTGGTGTAGGAGCAAAGCCCCAACAGGCAGAGGGTCTCTTGTTAGCCTACTGGTGTAGGAGGAAAGCCCCAACAGGCAGAGGGGCTCTTGTTAGCCTACTGGTGTAGGAGGAAAGCCCCAACAGGCAGAGGGGCTCTTGTTAGCCTACTGGTGTAGGAGGAAAGCCCCAACAGGCAGAGGGGCTCTTGTTAGCCTACTGGTGTAGGAGGAAAGCCCCAACAGGCAGAGGGGCTCTTGTTAGCCTACTGGTGTAGGAGGAAAGCCCTAACAGGCAGAGGGGCTCTTGTTAGCCTACTGGTGTAGGAGGAAAGCCCCAACAGGCAGAGGGGCTCTTGTTAGCCTATTGGTGTAAGAGGAAAGCCCCAACAGGCAGAGGGGCTCTTGTTAGCCTATTGGTGTAAGAGGAAAGCCCCAACAGGCAGAGGGGCTCTTGTTAGCCTATTGGTGTAAGAGGAAAGCTTCTGAAGGAGGTTTTGTTACAAATATATTGGTATCATCTTAGAATTAAAGCAGGCTGACAGAGGACTCTTGCTGCATGGGCAACATGTGTCCCACTGGTGACTGCTGCATGGGCAACATGTGTCCCACTGGTGACTGCTGCATGGGCAACATGTGTCCCACTGGTGACTGCTGCATGGGCAACACGTGGATCTCTTTAATACAGCCTAGGTTTTGAGCTTTGATTCTGGCCTTAACTGGTCTAGGAAGACTTGCCACTGGTGACTGTTGCATGGGCAACATGTGTCCCACTGGTGACTGCTGCATGGGCAACATGTGTCCCACTGGTGACTGCTGCATGGGCAACACGTGGATCTCTTTAATACAGCCCAGGTTTTGAGCTTTGATTCTGGCCTTAACTGGTCTAGGAAGACTTGCCACTGGTGACTGTTGCATGGGCAACATGTGTCCCACTGGTGACTGCTGCATGGGCAACATGTGTCCCACTGGTGACTGCTGCATGGGCCACATGTGGATCTCTTTAATACAGCCCAGGTTTTGAGCTTTGATTCTGGCCTTAACTGGTCTAGGAAGACTTGCCACTGGTGACTGTTGCATGGGCAACATGTGGATCGCTACAATACAGCCCAGATTGTGACCCGACCTGCTCTTGGAAGACTGCACGCCCGCCAGTCTTGTTAGTCCCACCCGTCACTGCCCTGGCCTATGATTCCCAACCCCGCCAGTCTTGTTAGTCCCACCCGTCACTGCCCTGGCCTATGATTCCCATGCCTGCCAGTCTTGTTAGTCCCACCTGTCACTGCCCTGCCCTGTGATTCCCATGCCTGCCAGTCTTGTTAGTCCCACCCGTCACTGCCCTGGCCTATGATTCCCATGCCTGCCAGTCTTGTTAGTCCCACCCGTCACAGCCCTGCCCTGCGATTCCCACGCCTGCCAGTCCCACCTGTCACTGCCCTGGCCTATGATTCCCACGCCCTACAGTCCCACCTGTCACTGCCCTGGCCTGTGATTCCCATGCCTGCCAGTCTTGTTAGTCCCACCCGTCACTGCCCTGGCCTGTGATTCCCACGCCCTACAGTCCCACCCATCACTGCCCTGGCCTATGGTTCCCACGCCCTACAGTCCCACCTGTCACTGCCCTGGCCTGTGATTCCCATGCCTGCCAGTCTTGTTAGTCCCACCTGTCACTGCCCTGCCCTGTGATTCCCATGCCTGCCAGTCTTGTTAGTCCCACCCGTCACTGCCCTGGCCTATGATTCCCATGCCTGCCAGTCTTGTTAGTCCCACCCGTCACTGCCCTGCCCTGCGATTCCCACGCCTGCCAGTCCCACCTGTCACTGCCCTGGCCTATGATTCCCACGCCCTACAGTCCCACCTGTCACTGCCCTGGCCTGTGATTCCCATGCCTGCCAGTCTTGTTAGTCCCACCCGTCACTGCCCTGGCCCGTGATTCCCACGCCCTATAGTCCCACCCATCACTGCCCTGGCCTATGGTTCCCACGCCCTACAGTCCTACCTGTCACTGCCCTGGCCTGTGATTCCCATACCTGCCAGTCTTGTTAGTCCCACCCGTCACTGCCCTGGCCTGTGATTCCCATGCCTGCCAGTCTTGTTAGTCCCACCTGTCACTGCCCTGGCCTGTGATTCCCATGCCTGGCAGTCTTGTTAGTCCCACCCGTCACTGCCCTAGCCTGTGATTCCCATATCCGCCAGTCTTGTTAGTCCCACACGTCACTGCCTTGGCCTGTGATTCCCACGCCTGTCTGTAGCACAATGTAACAGACACAATAGTACCAACAACCATTTCCCATCTGAGAATGCTTCAGAAACCTGGCTAGACATTTCCCTCTTTCTCCCTTGCATTCACTGACTGTAAACTCCAGTGGAAAGTTCTGGCTGTTTGTCCACTTCTGGACTTTAGCCGTGTTCCAGAACTTAAGTGGTGTGTGCACATCCATTTGACAGATCTGGCTTATTCCTATGCAGACCTGTTGGTTCCTTGCCTCTCAGGCAGATGCACTCCAACCCCCAATTAGTCGACTCCTATGACATGCTTGCTGGAGATGCAGTGGATCTGTTCTTGTTTCCCCCCACAATGAGACCCCAGAACCCACACGAGGAGATGCTAGATATTTTATGTAGCTTCTCTGAAAGTTATACACTTTTATGCCTACTGTGATCTTTGTCAATCTCTAGGCTAGACGCAAATTTGCCTACAAAAACCACAACAGCCAAAAGGGAATGCCATGTTTGAACAATGCGGGTGTTCGACGGTGTTTTGTCTGTCTGACTGTGTTTTGTCTGTCTGATGGTGTTTTGTCTGATCTATAGAGGATGCTAGGTCCAGGCAAGGGTGACCATCTGACAAATAAACATCACATGAACATTTCAGACATGACACATGCAACAGTGTGGGATGATAATGACATTGTCAACGTGATCAATCACAGAACTGACCTCGTCACTCAGCACCCTCTTGGTCTTCTTGCGACTCTCCTTCTCCTCCTCACTTTCATCGCTGGAGTAAATGTTTGCCCTCTCTGGTGAAATCAAATGTAACAAACTGAATATCTCATTGATCTACCTTACACATAAAGGTGCTTTAAACAAAACAACAAATCATAACTGTTCAGCTTGTATAGATCCCAGCTTCGTCTAGCCATGTCACAGAATGTCTACAGTGTATGAATGAGGACATTCAGCACAAGTGGTCAAGTAAAACAAAACAACAAATCATAACTGTTCAGCTTGTATAGATCCCAGATTCATCTAGCCATGTCATGGAATGTCTACAGTGTATGAATGAGGAAATTCAGCACAAGTGGTCAGGTAAAACAAAACATGAAGAACCCTTTTTGACCCTTTCAGGCGTACTGGGCACACAGGTCCCGACCTGTACTGTACAGACAAGTTGGCACTGATGTGGTTAACATGATGCCAGCACATCAGTGGTAGAGAAGTTGACGCTGAACTACTGAATGACTACCAGCCTGATATATGAGTAGTACAAGTTATAAGGAAATAGATAAGTTTCAAACAGGTAAATCAATAATGTTCTGCCAAACACACCGACATACTGCAGCCAAGGATATCTGGTGCAGCTGCCTAACACACCGACATACTGCAGCCAAGGATATCTGGTGGAGCTGCCAAACACACCGACATACTGCAGCCAAGGATAGCTGGTGGAGCTGCCAAACACACCGACATACTGCAGCCAAGGATAGCTGGTGGAGCTGCCAAACACACCAACATACTGCAGCCAAGGATAGCTGGTGGAGCTGCTAAACACACCAACATACTGCAGCCAAGAATAGCTGGTGGAGCTGCCAAACACACCAACATACTGCAGCCAAGGATAGCTGGTGGAGCTGCCAAACACACCAACATACTGCAGCAAAGGATATCTGGTGGAGCTGCCAAACACACCGACATACTGCAGCCAAGGATATCTGGCGGAGCTGCCAAACACACCGACATACTGCAGCCAAGGATATCTGGCGGAGCTGCCAAACACACTGACATACTGCAGCCAAGGATATCTGGTGGAGCTGCCAAACACACCAACATACTGCAGCCAAGGATAGCTGGTGGAGCTGCCAAACACACCGACATACTGAAGCCAAGGATATCTGGTGGAGCTGCCAAACACACCGACATACTGCAGCCAAGGATATCTGGTGGAGCTGCCAAACACACCAACATACTGCAGCCAAGGATAGCTGGTGGAGCTGCCAAACACACCAACATACTGCAGCCAAGGATAGCTGGTGGAGCTGCCAAACACACCAACATACTGCAGCCAAGGATATCTGGCGGAGCTGCCAAACACACCGACATACTGAAGCCAAGGATATCTGGTGGAGCTGCCAAACACACCGACATACTGCAGCCAAGGATATCTGGTGGAGCTACCAAACACACCGACATACTGCAGCCAAGGATAGCTGGTGGAGCTGCCAAACACACCAACATACTGCAGCCAATGATAGCTGGTGGAGCTGCCAAACACACTGACATACTGCAGCCAAGGATAGCTGGTGGAGCTGCCAAACACACCAACATACTGCAGCCAAGGATAGCTGGTGGAGCTGCCAAACACACTGACATACTGCAGCCAAGGATAGCTGGTGGAGCTGCCAAACACACCAACATACTGCAGCCAAGGATAGCTGGTGGAGCTGCCAAAGTGACCTAAAAGAGTAGGATAATAGTCAAGATGTCTAATTAGACATCAAGATATGCTCTAGTAATTTCATCCATGTTTCTTGTACATCAAGCCATGCTCTGGTTTTAATATACAGCTATCTTGCACATCAATGGTTTCCTAAACATCAAGATCCCAACTGTCCAATGTTTCCTAAACATCAAGATCCAACTGTCCAATGTTTCCTAAACATCGAGGTTCCCAACTGTCCAATTTGTCCTAAACATCAAGACCTCAGCTATGTCTAATGTTTCCTAAACATCAAGTCCAAACTGTCCAATGTTTCCTAAACATCAAGGTCCAAACTGTCCAATGTTTCCTAAACATCAAGGTCCAAACTGTCCAATGTTTCCTAAACATCAAGGTCCAAACTGTCCAATGTTTCCTAAACATCAAGATCCCAACTGTCCAATGTTTCCTAAACATCAAGGTCCAAACTGTCCAATGTTTCTTAAACATCAAGGTCCCAACTGTCCAATGTTTCCTAAACATCAAGATCCCAACTGTCTAATGTTTCCTAAACATCAAGGTACCAACTGTCCAATGTTTCCTAAACATCAAGGTCCCAACTGTCCAATGTTTCCTAAACATCAAGGTCCAAACTGTCCAATGTTTCCTAAACATCAAGGTCCCAACTGTCCAATGTTTCCTAAACATCAAGGTCCAAACTGTCCAATGTTTCCTAAACATCAAGGTCCCAACTGTCCAATGTTTCCTAAACATCAAGGTCCAAACTGTCCAATGTTTCCTAAACATCAAGGTCCAAACTGTCCAATGTTTCCTAAGCATCAAGGTCCAAACTGTCCAATGTTTCCTAAACATCAAGGTCCAAACTGTCCAATGTTTCCTAAACATCAAGGTCCAAACTGTCCAATGTTTCCTAAACATCAAGGTCCAAACTGTCCAATGTTTCCTAAACATCAAGATCCCAACTGTCCAATGTTTCCTAAGCATCAAGGTCCAAATTGTCCAATGTTTCCTAAACATCAAGGTCCCAACTGTCCAATGTTTCCTAAACATCAAGATCCCAACTGTCCAATGTTTCCTAAACATCAAGGTCCAAACTGTCCAATGTTTCCTAAACATCAAGGTCCTAACAGTCTAATATTTCCTAAATATCACGATCTCAACTATGTCTGGTTTCCTAAACATAAAGATCTTAATTCAAACTATATCTAATGTTTCATAAAGATCAAGATCTCAATTATGTTTTGTTTCCTAAACATCAAGTTTATGTTTTTACAACGGATCAACATCACGGCACACGGGTGTAACCCATAATGCTCAGTTCTACTTCTAACACAAGCCTGAGTCTGAACAATCTCAGCGCAGTGCACCAACTCCACAAAATACTTTGGATAGATATTTTTAACTCCACATTTTGTCTGGGCAGCACCATTTGGCTACTCTTTTCAAGAAATTGTTTACATGTGCAAGAAGACACACAGGCGCTCGGTCTGACTACCCAGAGATCAGGGCAAATTACTAGAAGTCCACCTGAACAATCCCAGTCTTCACCAGGGCTTGAACCCGGGACCGCCAGCACTCAAGGCAGACATCATGCTCCTAGACCACTCAGCCCACCCAAAAATGAGGTCCCACCGAGATCTCAGCTATGTTCTCTGTTTCATAAACATCCAGATATCAGCTGTCTCTTGTTTCATAAACATCCAGATATCAGCTGTCTCTTGTTTCATAAACATCCAGATATCAGCTGTCTCTTGTTTCATAAACATCCAGATATCAGCTGTCTCTTGTTTCATAAACATCCAGATATCAGCTGTCTCTTGTTTCATAAACATCCAGATATCAGCTGTCTCTTGTTTCATAAACATCCAGATATCAGCTGTCTCTTGTTTCATAAACATCCAGATATCAGCTGTCTCTTGTTTCATAAACATCCAGATATCAGCTGTCTCTTGTTTCATAAACATCCAGATATCAGCTGTCTCTTGTTTCATAAACATCCAGATTTCAACTCATCTTCCCTTTAAAACACCAAGATCTCAGATATGTCTTATGTTTCCTCAAAATCAAGATCTCAGCTATGTCTTGTTTCCCAAACTAATAATGTCTTATCTTTTCCTAATATGCACTAATCATTACGATAATACACCTTCACATTAATGACTGCTTGCTTCTTTACAATACAACAGCAGCAACAACATCTATAAAACAGGTAACCTCAGTTCCAACGCCACAGTCAACAGCTCCCTCTATAACAGCTTCTATGTTGACAAAAACCACACAGAATCCCATCACCATTTCATGTGAAAAACTGAAACAGTCTTGGCAAAGGCAGCAGCACGCACATGCAATGATTGCATAAAGCAGACATCAGAAGTGCCAATAGTAGCAGACCGCCTCTAGAATTGCAGTGCATTTCGATAAAAGCAGCAGTTATTAAGTACAAAATCTGGATCTGGCTGATGCTCAACACTCAGGGAAAGGATGAGACGGATATACAATCAGACAGTTACTGGTGCCATTGGAATAGGAACTCTTCACTTGCTGTTGAGGATGGGGACAGAGTGCTTATGGGAGTGTCCCAAGTGCTGTGATGTCCATTCTTAATTCAACATTTAAAGCAGCAGTCACACACATAAGGCTTTACCAGATCTGCAGCAACAAGCCAATTATAAATATTTTTTCTAGTCTGCCACCAAGAGCCATGCTGAAGAAATATAATGACCACAGAGCAAGGGAGCAAGGGGAAGACCAGGCAAGAGATGGAGTCATTTCATGAGGAGTAGCCTAATAAATACAAACTTGTACAATGCATTGGAAAAAGCTCACAAACAATCCTTACCCCCCTCCCCCCCCCCCCCCCCCCCCCCAACAGCTCGTTGACGTAAATGGTGGAAGAGAAGAAGTAGTTCACAAAAGAAACCACACAGGACACAGTCAAAAAGCATACTGGATGAAATCTGCAGCTCACAGTGTCATGCAATGCATTCAACTTAGTAGCTGCACAACAGAACTACATATTTTCAGTCCAAACATGGGGGAAATATAAAGGCTAGACACAGCCAGAAGCAAAAAAACTTGCCAGGTCTCAAACGGACTATCTATCCACCATAGTGGACTGGAAGCCAACAATCAAACTGATAGAATGGATGAGATTTCTTACTGGCGTCTTTATTCTGCTTGTACTTGTTCTTGATGGCACTGATGGAGAAGGACTCATCATCTTCCTCCTCGTCCTCATCGCGACCTTCCAGGTACGAGGCAGTGAGGCCCCTACCATGGCTTTTCTCTCGGGTTCGTTTCTGTTGACTTTCTCGTCTGATGGACGCCCGCAGTTTTTCTTCTTCTTTCTGAAACACAAACAGTTTTATTTCAACGGTGAAGACTTTTCTTTCCTTAAATTAGTCCCTGTAAAAGAGCAGTCACAAGCTGATCTGCCAATCTTCATCCTTTCCCCTGTCAACTGAAGCAAACAGATGTGTCACTGATTTCCCCTGTCAACTGAGGCAAACAGATGTGTCACTGATTTCCCCTGTCAACTGAAGCAAACAGATGTGTCACTGATTTCCCCTGTCAACTGAAGCAAACAGATGTGTCACTGATTTCCCCTGTCAACTGAGGCAAACAGATGTGTCACTGATTTCCCCTGTCAACTGAAGCAAACATGTGTCACTGATTTCCCCTGTCAACTGAGACAAACACATGTGTCACTGATTTCCCCTGTCAACTGAAGCAAACACATGTGTCACTGATTTCCCCTGTCAACTGAAGCAAACAGATGTGTCACTGATTTCCCCTGTCAACTGAAGCAAACAGATGTGTCACTGATTTCCCCTGTCAACTGAGGCAAACAGATGTGTCACTGATTTCCCCTGTCAACTGAGACAAACAGATGTGTCACTGATTTCCCCTGTCAACTGAAGCAAACAGATGTGTCACTGATTTCCCCTGTCAACTGAAGCAAACAGATGTGTCACTGATTTCCCCTGTCAACTGAGACAAACAGATGTGTCACTGATTTCCCCTGTCAACTTAGACAAACAGATGTGTCACTGATTTCCCCTGTCAACTGAGGCAAACAGATGTGTCACTGATTTCCCCAGAACTCTAAACTGAAATGTTTTCTCATGCTCCTGTCACTGAATCCTCACAATCATTTCCTTGTCACATGATCTGTCTTCTCACATGATCTGTCTTCTCACATGATCTGTCTTCTCACATGATCTGTCTTCTCACATGATCTGTCTTCTCACATGATCTGTCTTCTCACATGATCTGTCTTCTCACATGATCTGTCTTCTCACATGATCTGTCTTCTCACCTTCTTTCATGTCAACTTGGTTTTTCTCCACACTTCTCCTCTTATAAACCAAGAACTGAATCTTTTTCTTGTTTTAACTAACAACACCCCCCCCCCTTTTTTTGTGTGCTCTCAACAAACAACTGCCCACCTTGATCATTTCACTCCTGTTAGCCTCTGGATCCAGGCCAGTCATAGGCAGGATCTTCACCTTCTGAGTCTTGGTGGAGCGGTCAGCAAGAGACATGGTCATCTTTCGATGGGTGAAAGATTCCGTGGAATGAGGTCTGAGGCAAGAAATGAACACAGAGTTATCCTACACATGATGATGATCATCAGCTGAATCATTGAAGCAAATAACACAACTATACTAGAGCTACCGTGGTGTATCAGCTAGAGGCTCGCCTGTGTATCTGAAGGTGGCGGGTTCCAGCCCTGACCTGGCCTGACTTGTTTTCAAAAATGAACTTGGCTCCCAGGTCGACCCAGCCTTAAATGGGTACCAAGAAAGTCCTTTAAAGTAAAGGCGGGCAGTGTGATGTCATCCATATCACCAACCAAATGCTGATTGGTCTATAAAATACAGGTCTAGCCCTATATGCCCAATACACCTGAAGGTACGGAGAAGTGTCCTTGACTTTCCTGACCCATATATGCAGGCAGATGTGTGTCTGACATGTCACCCTGTCTCACACTGCCATCTCCCAGTGCCTATATCAGGTGTGCCCAGAACAGGGCTATTCAACTGGCAGCCTGCTGAAACCCAATAAGTGGGCTGCGGATTATCAGCCCGCTGAAACCCAATAAGTGGGCTGCGGATTATCAGCCCGCTGAAACCCAATAAGTGGGCTGCGGATTATCAGCCCGCTGAAACCCAATAAGTGGGCTGCGGATTATCAGCCTGCTGAAACCCAATAAGTGGGCTGCGGATTATCAGCCCGCTGAAACCCAATAAGTGGGCTGCGGATTATCAGCCCGCTGAAACCGAATAAGTGGACTGCGGATTATCAGCCCACTGAAACCGAATAAGTGGGCTGCGGATTATCAGCTCGCTGAAACCCAATAAGTGGGCTGCGGATTATCAGCCCGCTGAAACCGAATAAGTGGACTGCGGATTATCAGCCCGCTGAAACCGAATAAGTGGGCTGCGGATTATCAGCCCGCTGAAACCCAATAAGTGGGCTGCGGATTATTGCCAGTTGTACTGTAGTCATGATCCTCATTATCAACATTTTGGCCTTAGTTGTACAGAACTAGTCTAGAAGTTTATCTCCTCTTCTTCCTCTCTGTGACGGCTTTCCTCAAACATACTGGAGACACAAACAACTAGAGAAATATTGTCGTCTTCCTGCTTCTATAAAACTTTTGCATCAGGTCCTGCAGACACGGTCTTTATGCCCATCTGTTCATCCTTTCAAATGCTCAATTTCATGATGACCTTAAATAGTCACATTTGTGACTCAGCCTTCAATGTTTGGCTGTCCAGATATCAAGTTGCGCCTGTAGACATCCATCAACATTGTTGATGTCATGATCATCTGCTCGCCTCCCATATTTGTGTACCATGAAAAGATATCCAACTCAAGGAGAAGTAGAACGAGTCAACTTTAAACATTTCTGAGATTATTTAACACATTTTTGGAAATCACAGCTTCTGCTGCCATATTTCATTTCTTCATTAACAGAACATTTTCCTTTCGCAAGCACACCTGTATTTAAGATCAAATGCACACCTGTATACGAGATCAAACACATACCTGTATATGAGATGAAACACACACCTGTATATGAGATCAAACACCCACCCGCATATGAGATCAAACACACAACTGTATATGAGATCAAACGCACACCTGTATGTGAGATCACACACCTGTATATGAGATCACACACCTGAATATGAGATCACACACCTGTATATGAGATCACACACCTTTATATGAGATCAAACACACAACTGTATATGAGATCACACACCTGTATATGAGATCAAACGCACACCTGTATATGAGATCACACACCTGTATATGAGATCAAACACACAACTGTATATGAGATCAAACACACACCTGTATATGAGATCAAATGCACACCTGTATATGAGATCACACACCTGTATATGAGATCAAACACACAACTGTATATGAGATCAAACACACACCTGTATATGAGATCAAATGCACACCTGTATATGAGATCAAACACACACCTGTATACAAGATCAAATGCACACCTGTATATGAGATCACACACCTGTATATGAGATCACACACCTGTATATGAGATCAAATGCACACCTGTATATGAGATCAAACACACACCTGTATACAAGATCAAACGCACACCTGTATATGAGATCACACACCTGTATATGAGATCAAACACACACCTGTATATGAGATCAAACACACACCTGTATATGACATCAAACACACAACCGAATATGAGATCAAACACACACCTGTATATGAGATGAAACACACACCTGTATATGAGATCAAACACACACCTGTATATGAGATCAAACACACACCTGTATACAAGATCAAACGCACACCTGTATATGAGATCACACACCTGTATATGAGATCACACACCTGTATATGAGATCAAATGCACACCTGTATATGAGATCAAACACACACCTGTATACAAGATCAAACGCACACCTGTATATGAGATCACACACCTGTATATGAGATCAAACACACACCTGTATATGAGATCAAACACACACCTGTATCACACTACAGATTATTTGAAACTTCTTCCTGCCATTCCTGAGTCTTCCTCACTTTCAAAGGTCTGTACTACCTCTTCCAGTAGTTTGTCAGCGTCTGTGGCCTAGGCGCTTCGTAATGCCGAGTTCAATCCCAGCTGCGGACGGTTTGTCTTGCATTGGTTTTGACAGTGGTACCAAGAGCTGACCATCCAGAAAGCAATGGCAAACTACTGAACATAGAATTTGCCTAGAAAAACCACAACAGGCAAACAATGCTGGGGTTGGTTGTGCAACTTCCTGAAAAGGATACGCAACTAACTGTAATGGCCTCTTCAAACATATATGAAGGCTTGTGGTTAAACAGTGACCTTGATTAGATAGAGACCAGAAAGGTTACCTGAAGACGAGCTTTGTTTTAAACACAGACTGTCCCTGAAGCCCTGTTCCTTGACGAACAAAGAGATGGTTGAAATCTCCTTGTAGTGGCATCGAGTACACATCAAAGATTTCATCTCCCAAATGTAGGGACATGCTGGGGAGGAAGCAACATACAATCAAATACAACTGTGCTTAAAGTGAGCACAATATTATTTTCTGTACATAACAGAAGTAAAGTGTGTACACAAAACAAGTGTAGCAATATGATACATTCATGATAAGAATCTGGCTTAAACACTTTTATGTCACTAGGACAGTAGATGCAAGAATTCTACACATATACTAGAACGATCATGGAGTTAGTGTTTTCAGACTTGAACAACTGTTCAGACAGTATGTCAATGACGCTGCATGCACAACCCTGTGGTGGGAGTACGTGAAAAAGAAACTAAACTTACAACATTGCAGACAGCAGATCAAGGAAATTACACTAATATCATCCAAATATGTGATTCAGAGATCTATAATTTATATCAGATGTCAGAAATGTCATGAAAACAAAACTACATACTGGAGAATTAATGAGAGAAAGTCCAGAACAATAACTGAGAGAACTTTGACACATACCTGCCATCAGACCATTTCACAATACGGGCGTTACTCTCCTTCTGCGCTTGCCCATTGTCTTCTTTTATCTCATTTCCTTCCTGGTCCAGCTTTTTACGCCACCTAATTGTGTTTTCTACTCTCAGTTTCAGACGAGCTCTACCCTCCTCATCCAGCACCTCATCTTCATCAACCTCATCTTCATAAGTCTCTCCATCATACGGCCTGTGGAAGACACCACAGACAATTATGTCCAGTATAACAGTGCAGGAGGACAAAACAATGTGTAAATGTTAGTTATCTTGATGTTTCTAGCACATCTATATACCACACACACACTGACCTAGTGTCCCACAGACAACACACACATGATGACCTGGTGTCCCACAGACAACACACACACTGACCTGGTGTCCCACACACAACACATACATGATGACCTGGTGTCCCACACACAACACATACATACTAACCTGGTGTCCCACACACAACACATACATGATGACCTGGTGTCCCACAGGCAACACACACACTGACCTGGTGTCCCACAGACAACACACACATACTGACCTGGTGTCCCACACACAACACATACATGATGACCTGGTGTCCCACAGACAACAAACACATCCTAACCTGGTGTCCCACACACAACACATACATGATGACCTGGTGTCCCACACACAACACATACATACTAACCTGGTGTCCCACACACAACACACACATACTGACCTGGTGTCCCACAGGCAACACACACACTGACCTGGTGTCCCACAGACAACACACACATACTGACCTGGTGTCCCACACACAACACATACATACTAACCTGGTGTCCCACACACAACACATACATGATGACCTAGTGTCCCACAGACAACACACACAGACTGACCTGGTGTCCCACAGGCAACACACACAGACTGACCTGGTGTCCCACACACAACACATACATACTGACCTGGTGTCCCACAGACAACACACACATACTGACCTGGTGTCCCACACACAACACATACATGATGACCTAGTGTCCCACAGACAACAAACACATCCTAACCTGGTGTCCCACACACAACACATACATGATGACCTAGTGTCCCACAGACAACAAACACACACTGACCTAGTGTCCCACAGACAACAAACACACACACACTGACCTGGTGTCCCACACACAACACATACATACTGACCTAGTGTCCCACACACAACACACACATACTGACCTGGTGTTCCACACACAACACACACATACTGACCTGGTGTTCCACACACAACACACACATACTGACCTGGTGTCCCACACACAACACATACATAATGACCTAGTGTCCCACAGACAACAAACACATACTGACCTGGTGTCCCACAGACAACACACACATACTGACCTGGTGTCCCACAGACAACACACACATATTGACCTGGTGTCCCACACACAACACATACATACTGACCTGGTGTCCCAAAGACAACACACACATACTGACCTAGTGTCTCACAGACACTACACACATACTGACTTGGTGTCCCACATACTACACACATACTGACCTGGTGTCCCACAGACAACACACACATAATGACCTGGTGTCCCACAGATACTACACACATACTGACTTGGTGTCAAACAGATACTACACACATACTGACTTGGTGTCAAACAGATACTACACACATACTGACTTGGTGTCCCACAGATACTACACACATACTGACTTAGTGTCCCACAGATACTACACACATACTGACCTGGTGTCCCACAGATACTACACACATACTGACCTGGTGTCCCACAGGCAACACACACATACTGACCTGGTGTCCCACAGGCAACACACACATACTGACCTGGTGTCCCACAGGCAACACACACAGACTGAACTGGTGTCCCACAGGTAACACACACAGGCTGACCTGGTGTCCCACAGGCAACACACACAGACTGACCTGGTGTCCCACAGGCAACACACACAGACTGACCTGGTGTCCCACAGGCAACACACACAGACTGACCTGGTGTCCCACAGGCAACACACACAGACTGACCTAGTGTCCCACAGACAACACACACATAATGACCTGATGTCCCACAGATACTACACACATACTGACTTGGTGTCAAACAGATACTACACACATACTTGCTGTCCCACAGATACTACACACATACTGACCTGGTGTCCCACAGGCAACACACACATACTGACCTGGTGTCCCACAGGCAACACACACAGACTGACCTGGTGTCCCACAGACAACACACACAGACTGACCTGGTGTCCCACAGGCAACACACACAGACTGACCTGGTGTCCCACAGGCAACACACACAGACTGACCTGGTGTCCCACAGGCAACACACACATACTGACCTGGTGTCCCACAGGCAACACACACATACTGACCTGGTGTCCCACAGGCAACACACACATACTGACCTGGTGTCCCACAGACAACACACACAGACTGACCTGGTGTCCCACAGACAACACACACAGACTGACCTGGTGTCCCACAGACAACACACACAGACTGACCTGGTGTCCCACAGACAACACACACAGACTGACCTGGTGTCCCACAGACAACACACACACAGACTGACCTGGTGTCCCACAGACAACACACACAGACTGACCTGGTGTCCCACAGGCAACACACACAGACTGACCTGGTGTCCCACAGACAACACACACAGACTGACCTGGTGTCCCACAGGCAACACACACAGACTGACCTGGTGTCCCACAGGCAACACACACAGACTGACCTGGTGTCCCACAGACAACACACGCAGACTGACCTGGTGTCCCACAAACACAAACAGACTGACCTGGTGTCCCACAGGTAACACACACAGACTGACCTGGTGTCCACACTGAGAAAGTTGGGTAACTTGACATAATGTAATGAGCTGCCAAGGTCAGTGACAATACGAGGTATCTCTACCTCTATTCTGTTCTCTGGCGGCTCCTCCTCTTTGTTTTCCTCATCGTCATCAATGCCCGTTCCCTGACATCAAAATCAACAAAACACTGACACATCAAGAAGTAAAGCTGACAAAGTGCAAACACACAATATCTCAACCACACTTCATCATGGATCTCCTCTTCCATTTCTCTATCACTGTTGAATGCTCCAATGTCAAGTCAGGAGAATATCATGGAGCCAGGTGTGAGGTGTGCCCACTGTCTAGGTGGGGTGTGGCAACACTGTCCAGCTGAGGTGTGGTGACACTGTCAAAGTGAGGTGTGGCGACACTGTCAAAGTGAGGTGTGGCAACACTGTCCAGCTGAGATGTGGCGACACTGTGTGCCCCAGATTAGAAAGTTACTGGATTCCAATCCCTGCACACAGCTGAACATGTGTGTACAAGCTTGTATGTGTACTTACACAATCCATGTATGTATACTTACTTACACAATCCATGTATGTGAACTTACACAGTCCATGTATGTGTATTTACACAGTCCATGTATGTGTACTTACACAATCCATGTATGTGTACTTACACAATCCATGTATGTGTACTTACACAATCCATGAATGTGTACTTACACAATCCATGAATGTGTACTTACACAATCCATGTATGTGTACTTACACAATCCATGTATGTGTACTTACACAATCCATGTATGTGTACTTACACAATCCATGTGTGTGTACTTACACAATCCATGCATGTGTACTTACACAATCCATGTATGTGTACTTACACAATCCATGAATGTGTACTAACACAATCCATGTATGTGTACTTACACAATCCATGAATGTGTACTTACACAATCCATGTATGTGTACTTACACAATCCATGTATGTGTACTTACACAATCCATGTATGTGTACTTACACAATCTATGAATGTGTACTTACACAATCCATGAATGTGTACTTACACAATCCATGTATGTGTGTGTATGCCTGTGGTGACTAGCTGCCTGTTCTCTACAACACATAAAACAAGGAGTCTACACTCTCCAGCTGACATTACCCCACACACTGCAGCTGACATTACCCCACACACTGCAGCTGACATTACCCCACACACTGCAGCTGACATTACCCCACACACTGCAGCTGACATTACCCCACACACTGCAGCTGACATTACACCACACACTGCAGCTGACATTACCCCACACACTGCAGCTGACATTACCCCACACACTGCAGCTGACATTACCCTACACACTGCAGCTGACATTACACCACACACTGCAGCTGAAATTACCCCACACACTGCCGCTTACATTACCCCACACACTGCAGCTGAAATTACCCCACACACTGCAGCTGAAATTACCTCACACACTGCAGCTGAAATTACCCCACACACTGCAGCTGACATTACCTCACACACTGCAGCTGAAATTACCCCACACACTGCAGCTGACATTACCCCACACACTGCAGCTGACATTACACCACACACTGCAGCTGAAATTACCCCACACACTGCAGCTGACATTACCTCACACACTGCAGCTGACATTACATCACACACTGCAGCTGACATTACCCCACAAACTGCAGCTGACATTACCCCACAAACTGCAGCTGACATTACCCCACACACTGCAGCTGACATTACCCCACACAATGCAGCTGACATTACCCCACACACTGCAGCTGACATTACCCCACACACTGCAGCTGACATTACCTCACACACTGCAGCTGACATTACATCACACACTGCAGCTGACATTACATCACACACTGCAGCTGACATTACCCCCACAAACTGCAGCTGACATTACACCACACACTGCAGCTGACATTACCTCACACACTCCAGCTGACATTACCCCACAAACTGCAGCTGACATTACCCCACACACTGCAGCTGACATTACCCCACAAACTGCAGCTTACATTACCCCACACACTGCAGCTGACATTACCCCACACACTGCAGCTGAAATTACCCCACACAATGCAGCTGACATTACCCCACATACTGCAGCTGAAATTACCCCACACACTGCAGCTGACATTACCCCACAAACTGCAGCTGACATTACCCCACACACTGCAGCTGACATTACCCCACACACTGCAGCTGAAATTACACCACACACTGCAGCTGACATTACCCCACAAACTGCAGCTGACATTACCCCACACAATGCAGCTGACATTACCCCACACACTGCAGCTGACATTACCCCACACAATGCAGCTGACATTACCCCACAAACTGCAGCTGACATTACCCCACACACTGCAGCTGACATTACCCCACAAACTGCAGCTGACATTACCCCACACACTGCAGCTGACATTACCCCACACACTGCAGCTGACATTACACCACACACTGCAGCTGACATTACCCCACAAACTGCAGCTGACATTACCCCACACACTGCAGCTGACATTACCCCACACAATGCAGCTGACATTACCCCACACACTGCAGCTGACATTACCCCACACACTGCAGCTGAAATTACCCCACAAACTGCAGCTTACATTACCCCACACACTGCAGCTTACATTACCCCACACACTGCAGCTTACATTACACCACACACTGCAGCTGACATTACACCACACACTGCAGCTGACATTACCCCACACACTGCAGCTGACATTACCCCACACACTGCAGCTGACATTACCCCACACACTGCAGCTGACATTACCCCACACACTGCAGCTGACATTACCCCACACACTGCAGCTGACATTACCTCACACACTGCAGCTGACATTACCCCACACACTGCAGCTGACATTACCCCACAAACTGCAGCTGACATTACCCCACACACTGCAGCTGACATTACCCCACACACTGCAGCTTACATTACCCCACAAACTGCAGCTGACATTACCTCACACACTGCAGCTGACATTACCCCACACACTGCAGCTTACATTACCTCACACACTGCAGCTGAAATTACCCCACGCACTGCCGCTTACATTACCCCACACACAGCAGCTGACATTACCCCACACACTGCAGCTGACCTTACCCCACACACTGCAGCTGACATTACCCCACAAACTGCAGCTTACATTACCCCACACACTGCCGCTTACATTACCCCACACACTGCCACAACTATATGTGATGCTCTATCCATCTGATGATTTGCACTGTGAGGAAAGTAGTCAGCAGCAAGATCAACCATCCTTAATGGCTTCCTATAACATGCTTGAAAGGCATTCCTATTCTTTGCTTTTCTAAGGATCAAGGTCTTTAATTCACCCTTATTCTGTTCTAAATGGCCAAGCCCTCCTTGTATTTATCTCTGAATCTCCCTTTCACCTGGTGTCCCATGTGTGTGGTACTTGTCCCATGTGTGTGGTAGCTGTCCCATGTGTGTGGTAGCTGTCCCATGTGTGTGGCAGTTGTCCCATGTGTGTGGTAGTTGTCACATGTAGGTGGTAGTTGTCACATGTAGGTGGTAGTTGTCGTATGTGTGTGGTAGTTGACCCATGTGTGTGGTAGGTGTCCCATGTGTGTGGTAGTTGTCCCATGTGTGTGGTAGTTGTCCCATGTGTGTGGTAGTTGTCCTATGTGTGTGATAGCTGTCCCATGTGGGTGGTAGTTGTCCCATTTGTGTGGTAGTTGTCCCATGTGTGTGGTAGTTGTCCCATGTGTGTGGTAGTTGCCCCATGTGTGTGGTAGTTGTCCCATGTGTGTAGTAGTTGTCCCATGTGGGTGGTAGTTGACCATGTGTGTGATAGTTGCCCCATGTGTGTGGTAGTTGCCCCATGTGTGTGGTAGTTGTCCTATGTGTGTGATAGTTGTCCAATGTGGGTGGTAGTTGTCCCATGTGTGTGGTACTTGTCCCATGTGTGTGGTAGTTGTCCCATGTGTGTGGTAGTTGTCCCATGTGTGTGGTAGTTGCCCCATGTGTGTGGTAGTTGTCCCATGTGTGTGGTAGTTGCCGCATGTGTGTGGTAGTTGCCCCATCTGTGTGGTAGTAGTCACAAGATTTCAAGTCTGTCTCTGCCCGTAACAAGCCAGAGCACTCTCACCTAGCCCACATTGGTTCTTCCAAATGTCTGAGATAAATGTCTTTTTTCTGTGACTGCACCTTTTCAAAAGGACAAAAACTGATGCTCAAGACCCAGAACTAGGGTCAGTCACTACACACTGAGGAGTACTGGCTGGGCCTGTCCAACATGCACACTACACACTGAGGAGTACTGGCTGGGCCTGTCCAACATGCACACTGAGGAGTACTGGCTGGGCCTGTCCAACATGCACACTGAGGAGTACTGACTGGGCCTGTCCAACATGCACACTGAGGAGTACTGACTGGGCCTGTCCAACATGCACACTACACACTGAGGAGTACTGACTGGGCCTGTCCAACATGCACACTACACACTGAGGAGTACTGACTGGACCTGTCCAACATGCACACTGAGGAGTACTGACTGGGCCTGTCCAACATACACACTACACACTGAGGAGTACTGACTGGGCCTGTCCAACATACACACTACACACTGAGGAGTACTGACTGGGCCTGTCCAACATACACACTGAGGAGTACTGGCTGGGCCTGTCCAACATGCACACTGAGGAGTACTGACTGGGCCTGTCCAACATGCACACTGAGGAGTACTGACTGGACCTGTCCAACATGCACACTGAGGAGTACTGACTGGACCTGTCCAACATGCACACTGAGGAGTACTGGCTGGACCTGTCCAACATGCACACTGAGGAGTACTGACTGGACCTGTCCAACATGCACACTGAGGAGTACTGACTGAACCTGTCCAACATGCACACTACACACTGAGGAGTACTGACTGGACCTGTCCAACATGCACACTGAGGAGTACTGACTGGGCCTGTCCAACATACACACTGAGGAGTACTGACTGGGCCTGTCCAACATGCACACTGAGGAGTACTGACTGGACCTGTCCAACATGCACACTGAGGAGTACTGACTGGACCTGTCCAACATGCACACTGAGGAGTACTGACTGGACCTGTCCAACATACACACTGAGGAGTACTGGCTGGGCC